ATATAGTGTTATGAGAGGGGTTATGCTCAGGATGTCTCAAGTGCATCATCGAGCCATGAATTCAGACCTGCCCAAAAAAACCTAGTAATTATAATGAGGACGGTTGTACGTAAGCCCAAGAGCTTGGAGGCGGGGTTAAAGGAAACACTGGCGAGCTGGCTTTATGGCACCTATGGATGGGGAAGATGGGGAATATTATAGACACAGAAGTCTACTTTTTTTTGCATCATGCACCACTGAGCAACTTTTATAGGAAGGGACATCGCCCTGCCTCCAATGCTGTATCCAGTCCTCTTTAAACATCCATGGATTAAACAGTCAGTGATGTTTCTTCTGCAGATGTACTGAGTAAGACCAGTCTGTCGCTGCAATGGCTTGAAGCCAGGACAGTATAACAGGTGCAATAGGGGGGGTTAAGCCTATAGCGGGTTCATGATTAACGTTTGCCTTTTCTTTAACACAGAAAGTTATTTTTTAGGAGATATATCCCTGAGTGTGTTTGGAATTACAATCAACTAGGAAAAAAAATATCTGAACCAAGATAGAAAAGGGCAGAAGATTCACAAACTAGTGTCTGCTTATAGCTGCAAAAATGTCACCACAACAAATTAATGAGGTTCTGGTGACTGGCCAATTTAAGAAACTAGACATGAAGAATGCAGTGAGCAGCAAGAAAAAAGAAAAAGGAAGCTTGGATTTTGGAAAGTATCCGCAAGGTGTTCAAATTGATTCAGAGTTTAACAGTCGCTACAGTTCGTCAGACTTCGTCTATTGTTTACCAGTAGGCAGATGAGCTCATTCAACAGAATCAGAGCAACAAGTCATGGGGGAACTGTCAGGAGAAACAATACGCACACACTCACATGCTACTGCGGTCAAACTCAGGAGCACTCAGCACTCTCTCTGCAATGTGCAAACACATCATTTGCATTCCAAGTAGCTGAGAAGAAGCCACAAACAAATGCGGAGTGTAGGCAGTAGGCCTATGGTACATCACAAAGGAAAATGATCTTCTCCTCTGCCCACAAGGCTGCGTGTTATGGGCATCGCAGCTGCTGCCAAACATTCTTCAGGCGCCATATGGTCTCCCAGTATTTGTTAAGCTAAGCATGAGAAGCTCTTCCTTGATCAGATGACAGGTTAGCCGAGGAATCCGAGCTATTAGCATGCACCAGGCTGTCTTGGTTTCAGAGACTTGCATCAAATCCAATTATATAAACAGGCCCGCGGGTTAATGGGGAGGAAATGGCTCCCTGGCTGTGCCACCACATCAAGCGTATATTCTGTGTCATACTGAGTGTTTGCCCACTAAGGAAACATTCAAACGTTTAATGTGTGTAAATATAGCACACATATGAAAGTTGAAACAGTGTCTGCAGTTACACAACGGATTATACGATCTGTTCTTTTTGGTAAATGTGCCTAAATCCTAAACTTTCAATGAGGTTTCTGAATATAGATTAGAATATCTGTCATCCTATTTTATTATGACAACATCCGAAGGAAAAAAAATATCCTCAAGCACAATCTTGAATAAAGTGATTGATCGGATTATATGAAGTAGAATTGTTTTTTCTTTGTAAAACCAAATATGAATTTGTCAGTGCCTGCCTGCTTTTGTGTGTGGCAAAAGGGGAGACTAAACGTTTTGGTTATTGTTATATTTTTTGGGGCGTATTCTGCCTTTATTTTACAGATGATGTAGAAATCGGCGGGAGAGAGAGAAAGAGGTGTGACATGCAATAAAGTCAGAAAGAGGTATTTTTTTGACCTCAGTGAAAATATCTTTGAAACGCTAAACACCAACAAATATGGATCAACACTGAATATTTTGTTGGATAAAAACATGTTATGAATTTTGTAATTGTTTCATTCAATTTTGACATTTTGGACTTTGCAGCGCTCCGGGGTTATGGGAAATGTTTGGATCACACGAGTTGGAAACAATCCTACGCAGTCACCACTGGAATCTAATTCTACAAAGAGAATAATACTAATAATATCAGTGTAGCCTGATCTTGATCTGCATCTGCACAGAAACATCCGGTGTAAAAACAATGAATAGATATGGCAGCATTTAAATGTTGATTTAGAACTCAAACGTTAACGACATTCTGGGTTCAGCTCCGAAACTCGTGTTGTGAGCTGTAGGCACAAGAGCAAAATTGGAGCGGGAAGGAGCAGGAGATAAGGTGACGCTCCAATTTTATTTTTTTAAATCTACTCTATGATCAATTTAAAATTCTCCCGCTCGGGCTAGTTATGGGATGCCGCAAGACTAGCCGGTGGACCCTGATGTGGAGTGTGACCCTGAAATGGGCAGGGAGCTCCAGGCGACGACAAAACAGAGTGAAGTCGACCATTGTTCATTGGCACATACTAACAATAATGTACAAAGCCAGTTGAAAATCTATAAGATTTTCTTCTAAGACAGCGGTTCCCAAACTTTTTAGGCCACGCACCCCCTTCTACATCCCGACCGGGTTCACGCACCCCCAATCCCCCCCCCCCACACCTTAAAAAAAAAAAAAGCAACAGAGCCTATTTATAGCCGCATAAAAATCGGACTAATGAGAGAACAGTTTGCTCGCGCGTGGCGTTTGTTTACAAGATAAAAAACACAAAAAAAGACAAAAAATCTTCCTGCACCGTGCCTTCGAAAAGGTAACGGACAGACACCAGAAGATTGGCCAGATTGGCCACATCTGTAGGCTTGTCTACTTGCAGAGAGTAAAACTCACTCTTCTTCACACGACCGACTAATGTAGCCAGGATGTCTTCGGACAAAGCATCGATGCGGCGCGACACAGTGTTGTTGCACACCGGGATCATGTCCAACTTTTTTGCTTCTCTCTCTCCAATCATACATTCCACCATCTCTTTGGCAGCTGGCAAGCACACGTCTTCTGCGATTGTGTGCGGTAGCCCCTTTCTTGCTATTCTGTGACCAGATATGAAGCCCGTAGCGCGTTTTTTGTAGACCCAACACATGAATGAGACTGCAGTTGTTTTGGGCTGTTTTGTAACTCCTCCAATTTCGATATAAACAATGTAAGGGGCTTTTGACTTGCACTGGCATGCTTGGTGTTCAGGTGGTGACGTAAATAAGATGGCTTCAGACAGCTGTTAGCCAGAACCTCACTGCACACCACGCACTGTGGCTTTGGACAATCTGCATTGCCAATCCAAGTGAAGGCCAGACCCAAATCATTTTCATCATATTTCCTCTTTTTTCACCTTGACTCCGCGAGGGGCCTATGTGCTCCCGCTTTGTCTGTGCTATCCCTTCCTCCTTTTCGGTCTCCTCCGTCTCATCTTTCTCTGACTCCTGTTCGATTTCTTCTCCCGGTCCCTCCCCAACGCACCTCTCTGTTTCTCTCGCCTCCGATTCCTCTCTCTCTCTCTCTGTCCCTCTCCTCTTTTACGCTTCAGATGTCCCACCTGACAGTTTCCCCAATTTCAGCCAGTTTATCATATTTGCATGAATGTTGCTGAATGAATGAAGTTAGCTGTTAGCTGCACAAGCTAGGCTAGCTAGTGTGTACGTAAAAGACAGTCTGGTGGCAGGAGCTGAAGTGAATTTATTAAATTGTAAGTTTTTAATTTTAAATTTAAATCTTACAAAGGGAATTTTTATAATTCATGTTTTTATTTTGTGAAGAATCCCACTTAAATTTTTTTAAATTATATTTAATATTAATTATTACACCATTAGACCACCATTACATTTTTCCTCTCACGCACCCCCTAGAGCAGGGGTGTCAAACTCATTTTTACTCTGGGCCACATCAGCATCATAGTTTCCCTCAAAGGGCCAGTTGTAACTCTAAGACTGTATAAATGTAACTACTCCCTAACATATTGTTAACTAACTCTCTGCATTCGATTATTGTTTATTCAAGTGTAAAAATATTGTACATGCAGTTATATAAATGTGAAATTATATTGAAGCACATTTCTGTTATTATAAATAAATAATAAATAATTTTAATTTATGGTTAAGAAACCCACATTACTCTATCAAAGATCAAACTTTTAAAGTAAATAACAAAGACAAATATCATCAAACACAAGTTATTACATTAACTTTGTTCAAAGCTATTTTTGTCACCTCTCTGCATCACTAATGTCCCTCCCTGCCGTTGTCCCATGCATGGCAGCTACATCCAAGAGCTCCTCACTGAGAGTCAGGTCTTATAAACATGGATAGATGAGCTGTATCCGTGTTGTCTGTGCTTTCATCAACAGCTAATGAAGAAGACGAGTACCTGCTCATCTCTTAGCTAGCTGTGTTGTTAGATTGCTGCTAGTTCCCGAACTCGGTCTGCGATTTTGTTTCTTCACAAACTGACATTTGTAAAAGTCTGTATCTGATCGGAGCTCACCTGCTCACATACCTTTAGCATGCACTGGGCCTTAACTTTTGTAAATATCTGCTGTGATTGTACTCTGCCTTTTAATTCTTGGACAATTTTATGTTTTTCTTGGAGGCTAAATTTTGCTCCGTGTTTGGTGTCAAAATGCCGACGTGAATTGTATTCCTTCATCACCGACACTGCCTCATAACACTGAAGACAGACCCGTTTTTCTCCTTCAAGCACAAACATGTATTCGCTTTCCCATCTTTCATTACATTTTCTTCCCTCTGCATCAATTGTTCTCTTCGTTATTTTTGGATCTTTTTCAACTCAATCACTTGTTGGAAAACCTCTTTACGGTCTGTTCCCTCTCCTGTCCACCTGTTGTGATAGTTTTAATGTCGGTACACAGACAACATGCTATCTCATAATTTCAACTTTCTATCTCATAATTTCGATTCGCGGGCCACATAAAATGATGTGGCGGGCCGGATTCGGCCCGCGGGCCTTGAGTTTGACACGTGTGCCCTAGAGGCAGCTCGCGCACCCCCAGGGTATTTTCTTTTTGGTGTGTGTGTGCAGAAACATACTGTGTATCTGTTAATCTTCTTGTCCACATTTGCACATATCCTCACACTGCAGTTGACGGAGGCTGGGACAAGTGGAGCGAATGGACCGTGTGCAGCAGCCAGTGCGAGAAGCTGCGGAGCAGGGAATGCAACTCCCCAGCACCCAGACACCGAGGCAAGATGTGCGAAGGGAACAGTGAGGCCACTGAGAACTGCACAGATGGACTGTGTACCCAGAGTAAGGCCTTTCTCCCTGCTGGGCATCATCATCATCATCGTTCTCAGAATTTTCCTATCATCTCACTATCACATATACACTAACATGGCAAATCATCACAAGGCATGTTTGGACAGGAGGTGTGTGTTGGAAAGAAATCCCACTGTGGATTGACACAGATGCCCAGTGCATGATAATGTCAGCGCTCTTTCTCCTGTGTGCTGCTCACTTCACATATTGGATGTCATAGTGAATCCATCACAGAATGACGCCTGACGTCTGGAATGAAATGTCATTGCACTGTTTGGATCATGCACATGCAATGCTGAATGTTTCACCCAGTTGTGTCAACACTAGTATGAATAATGGCTAAACTAGGGCTGAACATTTTCATTTTCAATTTTCAATACTGATTTGAAGGAGTGAAGCCTTCATATCACAAGGGGCATCATTTTATTTGTAGCTTATATTAATGTCACAAATCAGGGCTCCCAATCCCAGAAAATGTACGCAGCTGTTGAGCATAAAAGACAGCTGGTGAAATTTTCAAATCTGCCATTTAGAATTTGAACGCAACATATCATTTTACACCATTATCACCAAAAGGCTCTGAATCTGTGAACTAGCTTGTCCTGTCAGTAGCTGTGTTTAGCACATGTATTCCCAAGTATCACATTGTAAAAGCTGAATGGAAACGGCAAAATTCGTCAAAGTTTCCTCAATGCTCACTGGTGTTTCTTAGCATTAGACAAAATTACCGTTTTGTATCTTTGTAGTCGTAGCGTGAACATAACATAACGTTAGTTTACCAGCTTAAATGTAGCGCTGCTAACAGTGAGAGTTGTCAGTCAGACGTCGTAACATTGTAAGACTTGACCTAGAAGCAGTTTAACATCATAGCCATTAACTATGCAGCTGTGACCAATACGCTATTTACACCACTTTCAAATGTCAAAAATCAAAGTTATGTTGTGTTACCTTGACTAGCACAGTTACCTGTTGAATATCCCAAGTTTACTGTTTGGATCAATTCAACTGATTAAACAGCACACTCGCTAGGAAAACAAATGTTCTCATTGTACGTTTCTGCAAATCACTGATACGTTGAATGTCACCGTCACCAGAGGAAGTGAAGTAGTTCAACAAGCGATGCTCAGAGCAAGTGAAGTAGTATATTGAGTGACTTATAACATGAGAAAGAGACCACTAAGGGTGGGTGGGAGTATTTGTGGTAGATGGGACAAACAAAAACAGGACTTTTACCCCGGAGTCTATTGTTCCTGTCCCTTGTGAAACCAAAAGTCAACTTTGCGCTTGATACGTAACGTTACGTAAGAAAGTTAGCTGAGGGCAGTTGTTATTTATTTACACTAGTTACATTGTTACCATTTTATATAACATTACGTAAGAATGTTAGCTAAGGGTGGTTGTTATTTATTTACACTAGTTACATTGTTACTATTTTATATAACGTTATGTAAGAATGTTAGCTAAGGGTGGTTGTTATTTATTTACACTAGTTACATTGTTACCATTTTATATAACGTTATGTAAGAATGTTAGCTAAGGGTGGTTGTTATTTATTTACACTAGTTACGTTATTATGCTTGTTACGTAACGTTACTACGTGAGAAAGTCAGCTAAGGGTGCTTGTTATTTATTTACACTATTTATGTTGTTCCGCTTTTTACTTAACGTTACGTAAGAAAGTTAGCTGAAGGTGGTTGTTATTCATTTACGCTACTTCGGTTCTTACACTTACACATTATTATTTTTACACAAACCATGATCTTTTTGCTAACCTTAAGTAGCTTTGTTGCTTAAACCTAATCAATCGTTTCACAGCGTGGTATCGTGCGTTTCTGAAAGCGTGATACAAGGCTAATTAGACACGTATTTGTGAAACTTGTTTTGAGTTCAGAAACAATGACATGCAAGGTTTGCAAAAAAAGTACAATATAATGTTTTTTTTCAGTTGACTGGGTTGGATTTGAAATATATGCTTGTTTGTTATTATTAATTCATTATGGTAGGCACAAATGTATGTTTTTATTACTATGTACAAGGGGTTTAAGTTCTAGAAAATAACCACAATTTCAAAGACAGTCCTTATACTGGTCAGAAAAAACAAAAATTTTCCGAAATTGTTCAGCCCTACTAAAATGTGCATATGATTATAATGTTAATTTGGGTTTGTTTGGAAAGTCTTGTAGACAAGTGTGGGACTTGAATCCATCTTAAAGAAATGAGTCATGTGTTTTGGACTTAAGTGAGGAGATCATTAGCCCACTCAGAGGTATTTCCGAGCCTGTGAGCAGTTTGCACCTCACCACCTTTATCTATGGTGATATGAAGACAGTAATGATGCCTGCCTGGCCATTATCCGATGCTGTATATATATCGTCAATGAGTATAGTCAGCAGAAAAGCTCCTCACTGCTCAGGGTGTCGGATCTGAGACCACACTTGTTAGTCACTTCACAGAGGCTCGGACTTTAATCACCACTTTCTCTCCTCTTTGTCTCATTCTATCTCTCTGTCTTTGCAGATCGAAAGCTGCTACATGATGTTAAACCTCAAAGTGAGTCTTCCTCTGTGGATTTCTTTCATCTTCGACGACTGCCACTTATATGTAATGCTCTGAATTCTGGGGGAAAGAGATAATATATTCTAAATTTAAAGGAGTGACACGTCGTTTGCACTCCGCTCAGTGCACACTCCTGAAACAGAAGCATTATGAATCCCCCCCCCAAGTTCACTCTGAACTGAGCAACTCCTGCATTAACCCTGCAAGATGTGCTCATTACGCATTCATGTCATTAGTCAGCGGCCCACTTTTATGACAAGCGTGACATCACAGCTTTGCTTTTTACTTTGTAACGGGGAGATATATTGGTTGTGACAAGGGAACATGTGCTACGTTGTGGAGGATTAATGGGTTGTAATCACTGCAAACGTGCTAATTGGACCAATTTACGGCGCTGTCCTCGCCTTCATGTGGCAGCTTTCAATCACTTGCTGGAGTTGGCCCGGCTAAGTGATTGTCAGGTGCCTGCTTGAGCGCTTTCATTAATGGGCCACATTATTGTAAAAGTTGTGCTTACTGCAGGCTTTAAGGAAAGCTTGGATGATTGAATGGGGAGGGTGTTAAGCTGGTGTGTGGCTAGTGATCACCCTGGTAGGAACACGCAAAATAATTTTTTCCTCTGATTCGTGCTCTCGACAACTGGTGACCACCGGCTGCATCGCATGGTCTCTGACCGTCTGCGCTGTGAGATATCCATCGTAGCTATTGGATATAGACCGGTGGGTCTAATGGCAGTTATGCAAATAGCCCTCCATGTTAGCAGCTTGAATGCGATGTGTAACAGTTTAGAGTAACGGCTGGACATTGTTTGTTTATGCCTATCTTTGGTGCACAATGTAGCATAGAGAGATGAGACAGATGGTCCGCTCCTTCTTACCACTTTCCATTCTTGTTTCATTTCCATCCCGAAGCCAGACTAACACTTTGTAACTCCTGCCTGTGTTTGACCTTGAATGTCTACATAATAACAGCATTGTCTTCCCCTGCTTTTCCTCCATCTCCTCCTCACTGTGTCTTAAATAATACAACAAAGACAAGGCTCTTTTATGTGGAACACTTTAACAAAAAAGCCTTTTCTCTTTATTGCCAATGCTGCCTTCATCACAGTGAAGAAAAAAAGAAAATACCTTGTTTCTGGAGAAATCTCAGAAGAACACTTTCACATACGGAGAATTCTCAAATAGTGATGTGGGCTTTTATTCACTTCAGCGGCAGAGAGAACCAGGCTTTTATTTCTAATTTCCCCAGCTTTCAAACTCCAAACGTCCTCCATCTTTACCTGCTGCCTTGATAAATTCAATATGATGTATACTTCTACAGCACTAATTCCATCAGTGGCAAGAGCCAAGGTTCACGTCAGTCGCTACACTTTGCCCATTTAAGTGGCAAATTTACGAGAAAAAATCTCGGACAAATAGTGGAGATTCTGTTGCCCCTAAAGTAGTGTTATTACGGTAAGGATGGTCCTGAAAGATACATATACGTGTTTTCTTTCATGTCAATGTTTTATGAGTATAATGCCAACATCAGTATGCATTGTACTTTATCCTTATGTTATTTTGCAGATGGGTTATCAGATAAATCCTTACGATTTCTGTTTATGAAGTTCTCTCTGACCGACCGCCTCTTAGCGAGGCGAAGGTCCTGAAAGATACACATACACATGTTCTTTCATCATCTTTCTATATCCTTTTACGAACATGATACATGCTAATATTGGTCAAGTTACAAGAAAGTAGAAATGAAAAACTATCTTCATAATCTTGAGAATTAACAAGTTTTTTTGTTTTCTCGCAAACATAGTAAATTAGTTATTTTCCCGAATAGTATCCCTTCCCCCGGCTACATGATGATTTCTGTTTACCTACAATGACCCTAATACGCTGTCGTAATAGGCTACTAATCGGGGGAAAAAGTGACGACGATGGCTTAAAGCACCCCACCGATTAAGCATTGCAGTCCTGCAACACTGTCGGTCTCACGATGGACAGTTCAAAATCGATTCGGCAGAACCATAGAGATTGTCTTCTGCTCCACACACTCTTCTTCCTTGCGGTGGCTAATGAAGCATTGAGTCGCTAGTGTCAAGCCGAGGTGAGGAGTGGGCTACAGAGGTCTGCTGAGCTCACTCCACACCCGAAAGATTAGTTTTCATTTTCAGAGTTAGTCTTGAGCCACAGCTGACACTGACAGGAGGCAATTCATCAGAATTTGCTCAGCCATCTCTTGAGCCACCAAAGACATAAAGACATAAAACCCTTTTTTTAATATGCACAGCAGCACTCCCCAACAGACTTTGTTGTGTTCCTCTTAATCTTCTATCAGGAGTAGGGCAAAGAAGAAATGACTGGAGTTTATTATGACATACAAATTGTATTGAATTGATGCTGTGGAAATGGACATTATACACATTTTTGACCATGTAAACTGTTACTACCCCCCTTTAATTATTTGAATACCTAATTTTAAATGAGAATTTACGGTCGCTCTCGGTTTTGTGTGCTTTAGGTATGGACAGCTCCAATGACGTCGCCCTGTACTCGGGCCTGGGAGCCGGCATCATTGCCGTGGCGATCCTCGTGGTGGCCGTCATGCTGTACAGGAAGAACCACAGCGAGTACGGCGTGGATGTCATCGACTCCTCCGCGCTCACCGGGGGTTTCCAGTCCTTCAACTTCAAGACCACCAGACAAGGTAAGAGAAAGAGAGAGGGCCATCGACTCCACACCGGTGACCACGAGGCCAAAAAGGCAGCGTCATCAATGCCCTCCGCGACAGGGCCACGCCGGTGATTGATGCCGTTTGCTTGCATCTGGCGGCATGGCGTGCAGCCTCCATATCTGCTTAGGATCTATACTTCCTCAACCAGTGAAAGGACCTGTCGTATTTTGACAGACCTGCTTCTCTGTTGTCGTGAAACAGACGATAATCAATATTCAACGGCGACCGGCGACGCTCCACCCCCGCGCCACGGACCATGCATTTGACTGGCAACTAGTCTCCTCCGTCAGATTACACTGGCCTAAACCACTGATGGATCAATGTGAGGGGTATGGAACGGTGAACATCAATTCAATTTTTTGTTGTGCACAGCAATAACTTCTGTTGGTGATGCGACTGGGGCTGTCCCCGCAGGCCCTGCAGGCATTCACATTACTGTCACTGACATTTCTGGGTTAGCTCAAGTGATAGCCATCGTGGCGACGGGCGATACATCTTCGCCTCGGTCACGAGCACTGCCGGGGGCCCACACTCTGCCCTCGGCTCCCCTCCCCCCCAAGGCCCGAGAGTCGGTCGAGGGGTGGGGGGGATTGGGAGGTGGTAGGAGCCGGGTCTACATTCAGCAGGTCATCAATCCTATTTAAATAGGCCAGCCTACCTGCTTTGCCTTCCACCGGCTACAATCACTCCTTTCCATTTTCCTCTCCGTGGCTCCCCGTAAAATGTGGAACACTTCGTCAGCCCCACTTTGCTCTGGAGGAAGTTGTTGAGGCATTTTATATTAGCCTACTTCTGCAGTGATTGCATTGTTTTTAGCTGTCCTTTTCATAAACATAGCAGGAAGGGGGGGGTCTCTAAATGTGTGTTTAATTGCAAATCAGTAGCTTTTT